TGTGCACTGCGCTGCTGCAGCCCCACCTCGAGTCCTGGGAGCAGTTTGGGGCACCTTAGCAGGAGAAGGACATCAAACTCTGAGAGTGTGGCCAGGGGAGGTGAGAAAGGTGGTRAGAAAGGCCCTGAGGGCAGGAACTCGTGAGGAACATCTGAGGTCACTGGGTTTGGTCAGGCTGGAGAAATGGGGGGAGCTCATGGCAATGCATTCCTTCCTCACAGCAGGGGAAGTTCACACTGGACATCAGGGGAAGGTTCTTCCCTCAGGGTGTTTGATCACTGCAGCAGGACCCCCACTARCCCTGTCAGGGTTCAAGGAACATCTGGAGGATCCTCTGGGCCCTATGATTTCATTTCAGGCAGTCCTGGGAGGAGCAGGGAACTGAACTCAATCCATATGAGTCCCTTCCAGCTCAAGATGTTCTGTAATTCTGTGTCTACTCTTGGTCTCTGGAGATCTGGAGATAWCTGGGTGAGATTTTCATTGAAGAATTTCACAGAAATATATCAGAAATACGWTTTTGATGCAGGATGGAATTTCCAGGCAGAAAGAAAGCGGTGACACCAAAGAGGTTGTGATGTGCCAAGAGAAGGTGTCTGTGATCCCAGGTTTTTCTCAGGGAATTCCTGCTCACATCTATCCTGTCCTAACAGAACTCAAATGAGAATYATTTCCCTGGAAACATTCCTGCTCCATCCCAATGCTGAAGGACCACTTTTTTTGTTTTCTGTGGGATGACTCCTGGCTTTCTSGCCAGTCCAACTCAAGACACCTGAGTGTTTCTGACAGTGTTCCCTGCTGATGTGTCCCCTTTTAAATGACATCCATTCAAGCCAGATATATTRTTTAACAGGATTAAAATTCCCAGGAGTGTTATTTGTCTCAGCTGTCCCCAGTTTGAGAATATAAAGATATCAGAGAGTAGAGAGAAGCTCTTGCCAATGATGCATCCAGCTCAGCACCTTGCTTGCAGTAGAGAGCAACAAGAAATTCCTTGGAAAGAGTACCAGAACAGAAAAAAAAAAAAGGGGTATTTATTGAGCTCAATTCTCCATTTTCCTCTGATTTGGGCTTGTGGCCTCTCAGGTAAAAGGTAGAACTTTTCAATTTTAATCCAATTGTTCTTTACACSCCTGACATTTTATTGTCATCACCACTACCTTTAATAAAATCACTGGAGCAYAGCGCTACAAAGGTTTCTATAGATTTGCAAAGTGGTGTTTTTCAGAGCATCCCTTATCACCATGGGAACAGGCAAAACCTGTTTTTACCAGAGACAAAGCAATGAGAAAATGGTCCCACTTGGTCAGGCCTGTGGGGCTGGGTGAGGTGAACCCTCAACTTTTGGGTCCTTCTTGGTGAATGAAAAACTTCAGGACAGCCACGAGCAGCAGAGAGGCTTGTTCTGGGAATTAATCTCGATTRTAAAGGAAAGATTTACAGAAAATTCATTTGACCCCTTAAGGCAGCGAGTGCATAGCAGCAAATCCTCCCTTTGGGAAGCAGCACATGGAGRTCCCCAACCTATATCAATGCTCCCAAGCCTCTTCAGCGATGTGACAGCTCTGAAATGCAGGAAAATCCCAATTCCCAAGGTCTTGAAGGGACTCCAGGCAGTTCAGCATCTCCTGCTCCTCTACCTCACCAGGGTAGGTGATATTCCAGAGGATGGTGGTGGGGTTGGTTGTAGGATGTCACCTCAGGAGTGGTGTCAAGGGCAGAGCTCAGTTCTCAGTGAGCTCATTGGGATTTTAAATCACACCTGGATGTGCAGCTCAGATCCCCAAGCACTGAAACACCTGAGCTAAACTCGTGTGAGGACAGCCAGGTGGTGCTGGCTGCGAGAGAAAGGAGATACCAGTGAGGAAAAATGGGATAAATCTGGGTAAACAAGTGCAGTCAAGRTTAAACTGGGCCTGCTGCTTTCTGAGATAAATCTGCTCAGCCCRTGAGCACAGCACTGCAAACCCCCAGGGTGAACTGGAAATGCTGGGATTTCCTGGGAAAGGGCYGTAATCACAGAATCCCAGCATRGTTTGGGTTGGAAGGGACCTTAAAGCCCATCCAGTGCCACCCCTGCCWYGGCAGGGACACCTCCCACTGTCCCAGGCTGCTCCCAGCCCCAATGCCCAACCTGTCCCTGACCCTTCCAGGAATGGGGCACCCCCTTTAAATGGGTGTTTTTTGGCTCTGAATTCTGGCTTAGAGGTGGTGGTGTGCTTTCAAACACAACGGGATCCCCGTGCAAACCCTTTCACACTCTCACTTGCCTGGTTGTGCTGATTCCCAGTGCACAGTTAATTTTTTTTTGTGCCTCCTACCCAATGTTGCATCAATTCACCCCAGCTCTGGTTTGGGAGGTTAAACAGCAGGTGCTTGCCCCGGATTTGCATCGGCACGAGCCGTGTCCTCAGCAGCAAAGAGCTTTGCATAAAAGGGCAGGGAGGGAGAAAACAGCTGAACCACAAAACCAGCAGCTCWAATTATTTCGTGGTAGATATGCAAGCGACTGCCTTTGTCAGGAAAAAARTACAAAATATCCCAGGCCGGTGTTAGTACTCGATGTTCTACTCCTCGGCTGAGAGGAAATGARCTTGCTGAGAGCTGAGAACCATCCATGAGGGTGCTGGAAATTCACCCTTGACTGAAGCTGTGATAGCTGAAACCTTCATCACAGACATGGATGCTTAATTTTTGAGWGATGTGTGGGTACCCAGCTGCTGCTGAAATCCAGGGTGGGTGAAGGGTGTGGGTGCCTTTAGAAGGTTCTGGGTTTGTATTAGCTGTGCCTGTTTCTTGTTGAATCCATCACCTGTGTTTACATCCATGCAGTTCACTCCCAGAACCTCCTCTGAGAGTTGAGAGGGCTCAGAGAAGCTGCACCATAATGAAGATTTTATTATCCTGAGTGATTCCTGTCATCAATTTAATTGGTGGTCATTGAGAGCAAGGCTGTGTCAGGCTTCTTATGGAATCACAGAATCACAGAGGGGTTTGGGGTTGGAAAGGACCTTAAATATCTTCTCCTCCCACCATCCCAGGTGGCTCAGAGCTCCATCCAGCCTGGAACGAGATGATTTTCGAGGTTCTTTATGCTCAGTGAGAGACTCCAGCTCCCTCTGCGCTGCAGCTGATTGCACACACACRAACCTGAGAGCACACGTGGACAACATTTGATATGGAAATGCAAAATCAGTAAATTGAGGTGGCTGCAAAACACCCAGAGCACTCGGGGGATGAATCACCTGGTGTGGAGGTTTTTGCGTTTCCTCTGATGAATCACTCCCGTGGGGCTCTGTTTGTACTCCCAGCCCTTGGCCCAGGGTGAAAACGTTATKTGGGTTTATTTTTAACTGTGTTTATTAGAAAATCTGTCCCTTCACGTGGTCCTGAGCAAAGCTGATGGCTGGCTGAAGGAAATGACCCTCCACCATGTCACTGCTGCAATGGCACCCCTGTCTGCTCATCTCCATCTCCCATCCCATCCTCCCTCTCCTGCAGCCTCTTGGAGCCTTTCCAGRAGCAGCAACGTCCTTTCCTCATTCTGTTTCTCAAAGAAGATCACTGGATAAAAATAGACATCGGACAGGAGGAAAATGAGGGAAAAAAAGGAAAGGTTAAAGCTGTTCTGCGCAGTTTTATCTCTTCAGTAAACTTCAGAGGGTTTGTTYGTGCTGTGCTGCTGCCTCCCCTGCTCAAAAGGAATTATATCACTCTGCCTTGTAAGGATATGGAAAATCAGGTGTATTAAATCAGCTGAAAATTGGTTTTGGAGGAAAAAAAAACATCTCTTGATAGTGGATATGCACCATTCATCTCCTTTGGGGCGCAGGTGGAAAGCAGAGGCGTTAGGAGAGATAATAAAATGCAATAATAAAACAAAAGAAACAGTTCTAAAAGCGCAATAACTTCCACCAATTTGTCAGAGAGAGAGTTTGGGAATTGCTGTCTGYTCAAACACACCCAGAGTTCTTCCCATGTGGCATCCCCCTAAAAGGAGAGCTGGGAAACCTCTGGTGCCTTTTCAGCAGCGTTTGAGAGAGTCAATCTGAGTGGAAAACTCATTTCTGGGCATTAAACCCCTCTGTATTCTGCTTAATGATCAGAAGGAAAAAACGCATGAATTGCAAAGCCGGAAGAAATGGAATAATTAATAAAGTCTAAATAGAAAAAAAAATAGGCGAAGTTATTTAAAATGAGATTTTCAGGCACATCTAGAG